AGCCCAGAGAGGGCCCCGGCGGCCCCGAGGGAGGGGGTCGGTGGGTGGGTAGGTAAATGAGCGAGGGCTGTGTGTGAGAGCCGCTGTGTCCGTCCCTCTGTGCTCCTGCGGGTACAGGCAGCGGCCGCAGTGGAGCGGGCCCTGCTGCGGGGCCGGTGGGGGGGAGGGAGGAAGGCTGAGGCCGGGCGGAGCTGTGAGGGGGCGCGCTATTGTCCCCGCAGGTTGGAGGACACGGGCGTGAGTGCTTCATCTGGCACTGCCCTCAGCTTGCACCTGGCCTTGTCCGCCTGCTCCTCCCCCTCAAAGTGAGAGGAGAGTGTGTGGGAGGAAGGGAGAAAGTTAGAACTGCTTAATGGGCAGCTGCGGGAAGGGAATGCAGGAACCTACTCTGTGCAGTGACTGACTAATGGTTTAAACTAAACTCTAGGAGAAACTCTTAAAACATGGTGGTTTCTTTGCTGTGCGTAACAAAGATGTTTATTTTTGTATGTGTAACACAACTTTTTAATTTATGTGGCATGTACATAACAAATAAATTGTTTTGTTCATTGTTTATGTGGGATAGTTACAAAGTGTAGATACAATGAACAGCTAAGTAGCAGGTGAGCACTCTAATGCTAAAAGTTGTTAGTGAGGAAGAATGAGATAGAGTGTATTGCTCTAATCTTGCAAGACAGTTTCAGAGAGTACAGTACTCTCTGAAACCCATACAGGGGAGTCTTCTCCCTTTGAGCATGTGTGAAAGGGTAGAAAAAAAATGAGTAACAGCATGCGTAGAGGTCTGCAAGTACAGTGGTGGTACACGTATAATGGAGTTAGGCATCTGAAAATTAAGTTGGTCTCTGACTCTTTAAACTGTGATTTTATTGTTCTAGGTCACTAGGGAGGCAGAGAATGCTGTGATTGAACTTAAAAGTAAAGCCAAAACTCACCTTACTGGCAAAAGGGCTGCTTTGGAAGAAATAGGTAATAAAGTTACAACAAGAGGAACGCTTATAGCCAAGGTAAGAGGACGTTTGAAATCTGTCTATAAGGAGAAGATGGATTACCAGCTCTGTACTAATAGTATTTTTTTTTTGCCACAGAAGACAGAATGCTCCAAAGCATCCATAAAGCCTGCAAAAGGACCTAGTAAGAGGACAAACGCACTGCCTAAACCTCCTGCTGCTGTGAATCAAGCATGCAAGGAAACTGGTGTTCCAAAGGTAGGAAGTAACGATGCCGTTCTACTCTTAATCTGTTTTGCAGCTTTGAGCTCTGACTTTGGAATAGCTTATCTGTAGATGGATCTTATTTCCTTGGTGAAAAAGCAAAGCCTCTGTACTGAGGTTTTTGTTTAATGTATATTGTCCTTAAAGGCTAATATTAAAGTGGCAGAAATAGCTGTTGAAGTACTGGATGAAGTTTCTGCTTTTGCTAGCAATTACTAGAAGGTCATCTGGTTCTGTCTGTACAGCATCTTGGTGAAAGCTTGCTGTGCTAGAATGCAAGTTTGTTTTAAACTTATTTTAAGTAACTGCATTAATAACTGGAAAAATGTGTACACAAAGATTGCAGTTTAAACAGTAGATACATAAGCACTATGATCTGTTTCTTAGGTTCTGTCTCCTGTCCCTATGGATGTATCTATGCAAGAGGAGGATTTGTGCCAAGCCTTTTCTGATGTGTTGCTCAACAATATAGTGGACATTGATGCTGATGACTGGGACGATCCTCAGCTGTGTAGTGACTATGTAAAAGATATCTATCTGTATCTGAGAGAGCTCGAGGTATGACATACTGAGTCTGTGTTTCTGCAGTATAGTGTTAATCTTGTTGCTCACACAGCTCTTTCTCTAACAGCTGCAGCAATCGATCCGCCCCAATTACCTTGATGGGAAGACAATCAATGGGCGTATGCGTGCGATTTTAGTTGACTGGCTTGTCCAGGTCCACTCAAGATTCCAGCTTTTGCAGGAAACACTGTATATGTGTGTTGCGGTTATGGATCGCTTCTTACAAGTAAGAAAGATATTTTTCAACTCATGTTTGGATTAGGAGTCTTGTTCAATGGCTATGCTTTTGAAGGAGTTTAGGATTTAGCTTTTCCTTATAATTCTTAGAACCTGTGAAATCTGCTCTTTGTGTAAGAGCTCACAATAATGTAGCCTCTTAATTCTGAGGCTGTGGTCCTCTTTGAGCCTGTCATCATAGGGACACTTGTGACTCAGAGTGGAAAATCTCATTTGTGGTATAAGGACGAGCACTGTCATACTGCTGTTTTAAACAGATAAATTGGAATCTCTTTATCTAGAGTTTGACATTTTGGGGCCCACTTTTTAAATTCCTATATTGCAGAGTCATCCAGTAGCTCGTAAGAGGCTTCAGCTGGTGGGTGTAACAGCACTGCTTCTAGCCTCAAAATATGAAGAGATGTTTTCTCCTGATGTAGCAGACTTTGTTTACATTACTGATAATGCCTACACGAGTGCTGAAGTTAGAGAAATGGAGATTACAATTCTTAGAGAGCTAAATTTTGATTTGGGACGACCTCTTCCAGTTCACTTCTTAAGAAGAGCATCAAAAGCTGCAGAGGTAGGTACTTGTCCTCATTACCTAGAACTTTTGTATATGTGTAAAGTCTATTAGGATTGCTTCTGGCATTTTTATTATGTGATCTTACTTGCTTTCTACTTACATGCTGGATCAAGAAATACTCAGCTATGAAACTCCACCATGTGAAGTAACGTGACAACATCACTGTGGCTGCCAGTAGTGGTCATGTTTGTATTTACTGGGGCCTGTGTTCAGTGTTAGTGGCAGTAATTTTACTGTTAGAGTAAACTAAGCATACCTAGAGCAGAACCCTTGCTTGTAGAGTGATCTTTTATCTGGTGATCAGGGTATTTGCGAGTAAAAGGAGAGTAGTGTTGCAGCTGTGCATAATTTTTGCATGCAAATATTGTATTATTTACCAATGAAAAGACAAGCTTTCTCTTTGACTTGACCCTTTTTTCCCCCACCCCTTACACTCCTGTGAACTGCCCTCAGTTACCTCAGCAGACCACTGGGTAACTCTTGAAGTTAGCTGACTGCTTTAATAAAGATCTCCTTAAGTCATTTTTCAGGTTTTTTTTCTGATTTAGTGTACTACAGAGGGAGCACCTGTATCCCTAGTTGGGCACAGCAGTGCCTGATGCTGCAGTTTTCTGTTAAAATCCCTCACTTGACTTTGTCTAAATTCCCAATGGCTGGTTTGGACTCTGGTCTCTATTTTGAGATGAGTGCCTATTAAAGAGTACAGTCCCTAGACCGTAGTAAAGATTTTGTTGGCTATTTTGAATGTTTTTGTTATTGAATTGTTGTTGAATTATTGTTAATGAATACAATAAACAATCCTGAATTATGATGATAAGGTGAAGTGAAAGTTTGTGGATTAACAAGCTCTCAATCTGGTAGGCTGATGCTAAGCAACATACACTGGCAAAATACCTAATGGAGCTGACACTGATAGACTATGATATGGTTCACCATCGTCCTTCAGAGATTGCAGCTGCTGCGTTATGCTTATCCCAGAAGATTCTGGGACGTGACAAATGGGTAAGTATATTTATCAAACTTGCTATGCGTTTTTTTCCTTCAATCCTTCCTTTTTCCTTCCTTTAATTTAATCATTAAAACAACTATTTCAGAAAATTGTGTTTAGGTCAATAATAATGCTGGTGATAAACTGACAGTTCGACAGCCTGATGCATAGTTGCACGTAGAAAAAAAGAATATACCACTAAAAGCTGACTGTCTTTTTCTGTGTGAACACTGTGGTATGCAGGGATTTTTCTCTGGAAAGTACTGAGCTATAGGCCATGCTGTAAATAAAGGTAGATTTTCATCATTCTCACAGTACACGTAGAATGATGCAATCATGGACTACAAATAGTGATTTTAATTCAACTAGTGGTTGCTTTTGCAAAGGTTACTTCTTTTATCCTCTATGTGGTGTAGAAGTGTGGATCTTGGTGCCGACGCGTCCAGATGTCTGCCACACACCAGGAGTTACTCTGGATCTGTTGCCTAAACTGACAGTACTGCAGTTTCTAGCACTGCAGGCCAGTGCATGAAGCTCAGGGCATTTGCTGCCTGAAGTGATTGTGCCTTGAGCAGCAAGCCCTACTTCAGCAATCTTAAATGTCTTACTGTTCCGCTGCAGGGTACAAAGGAGCAGTACTACACCGGGTATACAGAAGACAGTCTTGTGATGACTATGAAACATATGGCCAAGAATGTGGTCAAAGTGAATGAGAAGTTAACAAAATACACTGTAAGTATGACTATTTAAATCTTTTTAACGTTTTAGAAATACCTTTGCTGCCTATTGTGGCTCCTTAAGTAAATGTTCTGGATGAATGTTCTGTACGTTAGCTAAAGCAGATTGCTATTCTGACAAACCTGTGAAAGGATGTTGCATTAGTACTAACTTCAAAACGTTTTAGGCAAACTGTACTCTTGCTACTTTGTAAGCTGGTTTGCTTCTAGCCTTGTTTGTTTTCAAAGCAGTCAGGCACATTGACCCCAAATTCTCTGCCTGAACATATTGTATGTGTAACACTTTTGTAACACTCTTCTTCTACCTCTGCAGGCTGTAAAGAACAAGTATGCAAGTAGCAAACTACTGACAATCAGCACAATCCCTCAACTGAGCAGCAAGACAGTCAAAGACCTGGCTTTATCGCTCTTAGGATAACCCTAGGCAGCCAAGTCCTGATGGTGTATGCACTTTCTCCTTATTTGCCTATTGAGGCAAAACTACTGCTCTTTGTACATAGCATTCCAGCTGTGCCACAGACACTTCAGCCTCGCTCGGAAGGTGAAATTTTAAACTTGCTTTGTAATACAACTCTCTACCTAGAAATAAAGCTTCTCTCTTTTAAAAAAAAAAAAAAGGTATTGTGACTGACTCTTTAAGGCACTATGTAGACATGTCTGCAATCTAATGTCCAAGCAGGACATTTGTCTAAAGAGATACAACCTGCAGTTAGATGTGGTTGTTTATTCCAAGTGGTTGTTTCTAATGAGAATTTCCAGGATTTATAGTGGATTATATTTAGTAAATTGTGTTCACTCTTAAGGTAAGAAAGGGTAGGCAGACAGTTCATCTTTTCTTGGTGTACCTTAAAGGATACGAAATATGCACTTCATTTCAGTGCTGTGTCCAAAAGTAGTATACAGGAATTTCTTTTGATAGTTCATTGCTTTCAAGTTTGGGGAAAGAAGTAGGCTGGCTGCAACAGATACTTACTAGCCTTGTAAATCCTGGCATTTAGGTGAACATAAGACAGTGTTCTCCATCTTTGCGTACCTAAACACAGGGAGCTGAGGTAGGAAAAGTTTCCTGTGATGCAGAGGCTGTAGGTGTGGAACTATAGGAACCTTTTGAACCAGCTCAGCTCTTAAAACCTGCTCTGCTTCTTGGACAAAAAACCCCTAGCTTTTCATTGCTTGACTCACCCACCCACTGCTTTTTTTTTTATTTTCCTTTATTTTTTTTTTCCACCTCCAATAAACCTCTGTACCTGGGCGAATAGTCAAACTGACCATATGTAGCTTCTTCCTTATCACTTAATATTTTGCTTTCCTTTGGTTCTAATGAACATCATATCTGTACACACAAGGAATACAAGCATGTTAGTACTGCAACTTTTCTGCCTCAATACCTCATTTAAGTGTTTTTGTTAACTTAGTCCTATATAATTTTAAGTTACAGACCCTTAGGTATTCTCTAAATTCTCCCAGTGTCTCCTTCGTGTGTGTGCTAGCTCTGATGTAGAAGGCAAGAACCTGATACTGCAATTGGCCTAGACCTCAGTGCTCCCTCTGCGAAGCATGTTGAAGCTACTGGTTTTTATCTTCACAAGCAGGAGACTTCTCTCCCATAGGATAAGTAAGCTTAGTGCTTACTGAAAATGGTCTTTTGAATGATGTGCTTGATCCCTGTGTGTTTGATTTCCCCTTGGACTGAGGCCCTAATTTCTAGCTTCCAGAAACAGCTTTTACAGGCAGTAATCTCTTAATGGAGATGGAGTTCAAGTGTGTGTAAATTAGGCTTGGGCAATGGTTTAGGAGGGGATTCAAGGCTTTTAGCTGTATCTTAAAGCTTGTGCAACTTCTTAATATTGACATGTGCAGGTTTTTTAAACTGCTCTTAACAAGAAAAACAATGTAATGCAGAGCACTTCATCTGGGCGTAGTAAAAATGGTTTGGAGCAAAGGAAGAGGATTTTTTTTGGCAATTAGTGCAGTAAAGTTCAACAGACATTATTGTGAAGGGATCTGTTAGTATATGTAACTGAAAACAAACCGCACAGTGAACAGACCTGTTCAGGTAACTGCTTCTTGTGTTTTATTTTCTGGAGGTTCAGAAGGCAAAGCTTGAATGCTGAGAACTGTATGGCAAGCAACAGCCACTCTGGTGTGGGAGGCAATCAGACTTAAGCAGTAACACTTTTGCTTTTGCCATTTAAAAGGAGTAGTGCATATCTTGTAAGTACCTGGCATAAAAATTCTAGTAGAACTACTTCATGAATAAGAACAGTGGAATACTACATTATACATTCATACATGTGTCTATCATATTCAGTTTTTATATACAGTATATGATCTGTTTCTATAAATGTACAGCTTTGCATAAAGACATTTCTTATAACAGGTAGAGCATTAAACATAATTCAACATGGGCCAGCCATATTTATAATATAAATCTTGGAGAAGGCAACATTTTTTTAGTATACAGTACTATGTGGTTTTCTGTTTTAACTTTTTAGAGTGCCTGTTGGAGTCTCTAAACACATCAGCAAACACAAACCAGTTCCATAACAACTCCGTACAGAATTACTTAAATATGCCATCACAGTAGGTTTTTAGATGGTAATATCCCAAATGGGCCTAAATCTTTTTGACATGTAGCAGCATACTTAACGTGTTCCTCAGACTGATCTGCATTAGAGGAAATGTGCATTTAACACTATCTTCAGTAGATAATCAAAAAGGTTACTGATACTCAGCTGAAGGCACTTAATAAGTACACCCCTTTGAAAGTCCCTGGTCCCAGACTGCAAAGCACCTTTCTGTTTCAGGAAGATGGTAGGCTTGAGCATTCCTGACTTAATAGGTGTTAAAACTAGGTTTTAAATATAATAAATAATTAGTCAGTATGTCTATTGCTGTATGCTTCTGAGACAAAAGATCCAAGTCTGTGCCATGGGTAGTTTTCTTCCTGCTCACATACACAATTTGAGTGGTGAAAATATTGCTGAGAATGGCAGATCTGCTCAGAAGAACAGTGTCCTGAAGGCAAGGGAAAAGATCTTCAACCACTGGTAACTTCATGTTGTTTTTTGGCTGACAGTCTTATATCTTCGTGACGTAATTGTTGGGAAAGAGACCTTGTTTCCCTCGTAGTCTTCCTGTCCACCAGCCAGAAGGATCTGTGACAAACCAAGCAAAGTAAGTAGTGATGTTCTGTGAACCTTTCTGTATACTCTTTAAGGCAGCCTTGCAAAGCTATTCCACACAGTTGAGAGCCTTATCCTGAAGGACTGAGGAGAAACGATTTGAGGAACCTGAGCTTGCTCATCTTTTGGCCACATCCTTATTGCCTTATGAGGCCACTTTGGAGACCCAGAGAGTTGGAAACTGCTTTAGTACTTTTTGGTTCTGGTGCTATAGCTGTGGTGTAGGCTAATTTTCAGCCAGAACCTGTGATAGAATTGCCCTGAACTTACAAGAGCTGCAGTATGAAGTAGTTCATATATCTATCATTCATCTGTCTCTGCCATGTTTTTAAGTGACCAGGTTTGATTGGTGGGGGGACTTCCTTGTTCCCTGAGCTATCATAGAAATTTGCAAGCCTAATGAGGTAAAACAACTGTGTGGTAGGTCAGAAAGTCATGTCTTAACTACTTAAGGCAGTGCACCTTCAAGATTAGTACTGAAGTAACAAAACCTTTGATCACTACATACCTTCTTTAATTATATCAATCATGTCGTTGGCATTAAAGCTAAGTTCATCTGTGTCCTGAGCATCGTATGCATACAGTGCCCTGCACTGTGGTACCTGAGGCTTAGGTTTTGGCTGTGGTTTAGGCCTTCCTCCAGCTGGTGGGGGTCGATTTGTTGTCTGCCTGCGAACACTAATGAGAGGAAAAAAATGTTAATGTGCTTCAAAGCTTATGACTTGAACCCAAGCTTTATCAGTCTCTCTGTCCTCATGAATTGATGCTAAATAATTACCACAGAAGAAGGACAACAGTATTCCATTAAATATCACAATTAAAAACAGCAATGTAAGGCCTCCCTGTGACAGGGACAGAGCTGCTGTTTCTTTCCTACTGAAATGGATGAATAGGCCCAACAGCAGCTCGAACACATAGGAGACATTTTAGTGCTCAGGCTGGAACGTAAACTAACGTGCACATGCAGTTCATGCATATCTTGGCATCTACACAGTTTAATCTGTCTCTCCCTGTGTGCCAACTTGACCAGGGATTTAGTTTCCAGTATTAAAGTACTAGCTTGCTACTTTACCATTCTTGTGACTAAGCGGTGAGAGAAACTGTCTCTTCTAAGTTGCCTCAGATTCTGGAGCTGTCTGTGGACTTGTTCTGTTACAATCAGCTCTGAAGCAGCAGGGGTGATGCTGCACAAACATTTTGTCACAGCTGTGACCACTTCAAAGATTAGGAAGGGGAAAAGAGGGATGAAATGCATTTTGCCAGCTCATCAGATAATAAAGGCTGGAAGAGAGAACAGGTATTAGATGCCAGTTGTCAGATGTCAGTTAAAAATAGTTAATAAATAACTGTGCTGAATGACTAAAAATGTTGCAATGATGTGGAAGAGACTGAACTGTGATCATGTAATGCCATGGTAACATTACACAGCTCTTGCAGAAAAGGTTTATAGTTAGATATAAAAAGTTCTAGATTTCATTTCTGTCAATACATCTCTATCTGCTTTTAAGTTTGTGGTGAACAGCAGCAGAAACTGAGCTCTGAAGTAAGGGTGAACAGCATTTTGGTTCTATTTACTAGATTTATTTACTGCATTTATTGACTGGAGAGAGGATTTCTCCTGTCGCTCAGCAGGTACAGAAGTACCTCAGCTTTTCTGGAACAAACATCTTAAATTGCATGTTTTGCTGGTGAAAGCATAGTGTTGGTTTTAAACTCAGGCTTGGATTGTTGGTGATGGGTAGAAATTGAAGCTGGGATAGTACTAGTGCATCCCTCTCAGCAGCTTTGCTGAAAATCTAATTCTAACCCTTAAAAATTATATCTATAATGGCTGTGTTTTTTGTAAAAACTACACCACGTTTCTAGCTCACTCCTGGTGAACAGGGAACACTAGAGCTTTCCCCTTTGAAAAAAGAACAGTCACAGAGGAAAAAAACCAAAAACTTACCTGGAACCCACTGCTGAATATAGTAACATTGTTCTGGTACATAAATAAAGGAGCTCATAATGCCCGGGGGGAGGGGGGGGCAGCCTTGCAAATGTTGCTGTTGTGTATTTTCTTTGGTCTTTTACTGCTGTAAAACTCCTAGGGTGTTTGTTTTTAATAGTGGTGAATGTATTGGGGAAACTTTTGGCTAGTAATGCCGAGAATGGTGCTGAACAGGAAGAAGTGGAAGGAAGAACAAGCAGAACCCCTCAGGTGTCCCTGCTTCCTCCACTCCTTTGCGAGCCTGACTCTTCTGGACTGGCTTTGGGAACTGATGTATTT